TGATAACAATAATGATAGTTATAATAAAAGTAATAACAATAATGATATTATTCATAACAGTAATAACAATAATGTAATAATAATAATAAAAGCAACAAAACCCAAATAACCAAAAAAATACCAATAATGATGATAAATAACAACAACATGATAAACAACAGAGCAGGTAAGGTTCACCAAACACGAAATGATACCCCATGCCATTACCAGACGCCAACAGCAACGCATAAAGAGTAGGTGTTGCGGACGTGAAAGGGGCATTAAACGAGGCCGCCGTATCAGCTTTCATGACAAGGGAGTGTCCATCATGATAATCAGAGTGGGATATGGTACAGATTGTGTGTGTGTGGGTGTATTAATGTGTGTGTGCGTGTGTTTGTGTGTGTATTTGTGTGTGTGTGTTGTGTGTGTTGTGTGTGTGTGTGTGTGTGTGTGTGTGTGTGTGTGTGTGTGTGTGTTTTATGTGCATATAGTTGCTTTATAGCTTTTTTCTTTTGTTTTGTATTGTTTATTATATTATATAGTTATATAGGTATAATGCAAAATACCCCTGTGAGGTAATACGCGAAAAATCCAATTACGTTAATAATAATAAAAGAGAGTGGCATAAATTCGCCAATTTGGCAACAAAGAAAATGAGACGTGAACCGTTTTCTAGCAGTAACTAAAGTAAACATAATATTCATAATTTTCATTAGAAAACGATGGTTTCATGATGATGATACTGATTCAAGGTTATCAGTATCGTCATTTTTATCAGCATCATTGTTATCATTATCATTATTATTACTATCGTTATCACAATATTATCATTACCATTTTCATAAATATTATCATTATCATTACTATTTAGTAGTAGTAGTAGTAGTATCATTATCATTATTTTTTATTATATTATTGTTTTTGTTATATATAATTATTATTATTATCATTATTATTATCATTATTATTATTATTATTACTACTGTCAATACTATTATTGTTATCATTGTTATTACTATTATCATCATTATTACTTTTATCATTGTTATTTCTATCATTAATAACATTATCATTATCATTGTTATCTTTATTATTATTATTGTTATTATTACCATTATTATCATTATCGTTGTCATTATTATTATCATTATTATCATTGTTATTATCATTACTATCAATATTATTTTGCTATTATTTGTTGTTATTGTTATTTTTATCGTTATTTTTGTTGTTGTTGTCCTTATCATTGTTATTATTGTTATCATTATTATTATATAATTAATTTTCATTATTATCGTTATTATCGTTTTTTTATTAGTATCATCATTATACTTATCATCATCATCCTTACCATCATCACTATTAGTAGTAGTAGTATCATCATTACTATTACAATTATTATCACAGTAACTGTTATTATCATTATCATCATCATTATTCTCATTATCAGCATTTTATTATCATTATCATTATTTTCATCATTATTATTTTTTACTTATATTATTATCATTATCATTAATATTATTATCATTATTATTATTATCATTATCATTAATATTATTATTATTATTATTATTATTATATATTGTTATATTATTATTCATTATTATTTATTATTTATTATTATTATTATTATTATTATTATTATTATTATTATTATATTACTATTATCTTCATCATCATCATTATTATTATCAACATTGTCATTGTCATTATAATCATCATTGTTATTACTGTTATTCATACTATTATCATTATCATTATCATTCTTGTCGTTATCATTGTTATTATCATTATCACTATTATTGCTGCTATTATTATTATTATAATTATTATCATTATCATTATTATTATTACAATCATCATTATTATTATCATTATTATCATTAATGTTATTAATATTATTATCCTTAATACCAATGTCATTATTATCAATATCATTGTTGTTAACATTATCACTCTCTTTTCTATTTCATTCTCTTTTTTATCATCCATAATGTGCCTTCTCCTTTTCGTTACGTCTATTCTCCGTTTTTCTTCCTCCTCTCCTCTTCCATTTCTACTTTTTTTCTCCTAATAATTCACTTTCATTTTCATGTCGCATTCTCCACCTCCTCCTCCTTTTCCTCTCCTCTTCTCCTTTTTCATTCTCTTCTTTCCCTAACTCCTCTTCTTTCCTTTCTCCCTTCTTTCTTCCTCCTTCCCCACCCCTATCACCCTCCCCACCTCCCCCTGCCCCCTCCCATCACTCTCTCTTGAACCCATTGCGAATCTCCTTTTGGCGTGAAATTTCTCCCGAGAGCGTGAAAACGCGGCGATATATTCCGCCAGTGATAATAAAATGCTCTCGGGGTCGCGCCTGATCTCCCGTAATATTGCGTGCAAGTGATCAATGCGGGTTTGTTTCGCCTCATCGGTGGCCGTTGGGCGACTGCGCTTAACGAGGCGGGGAATAGGGTGTCGGGGGAGCTAAGGTGCTTCGGTCTGTGGTGGGTTTTTGTAGAGTTATGGAGTGAGAAGAGAGAGAGAGAGAGAGAGAAGAGAGAGAGAGAGAGAGAGAGAGAGAGAGAGAGAGAGAGAGAGAGAGAGAGAGAGAGAGAGAGAGAGAGAGAGAGAGAGAGAGAGAGAGAGAGAGAGAGAGAGAGAGAGTGAGTGAGTGAGTGAGTGGTGTGTGTGTGTGTGTGTATTGGGATGGGTGTATGTGTTTGTGATTACGTTTTCTTTTCCTTTTTCCCATTCGTATTCGTCTGGCGGGGCTTCGAAAAAGTACTTCCGCCGGAGTATTGCAACTCGAATTTCATGCCTTGATGCCTTCATCGTGTCTGCAACTCTTCTTCCTGGAAGTGCACTGTACTGGCGTCGTCGTCCAAGCAACCAACAAATTGTTTTTAATCATAAAATACCTTGATATACCACGCCTGGGAGAGTTTATTGCCCTGTGCACCAAGCGAAAACAAAAACACTGGGTGATCAACGAGCTGTGATATTTGGAGACATATTTACTTTCGAAAAAGGTAAGATATTGAAAAGAGAAGTAAACTGAAGACGTCCACATGAACTGCAAGTCTTCAATTTCGTGCTTTATTTTGTCTGTTCGGATTTGATTTATTCTTCTTTTTCTTGTAGCTTGTTTCATATTATTTTGTTTTATATTCAAAATCATCAGGGTTGTAGTCTGTTTGCCTGGATGACCCGAATATATTTGTCTGTTAAGACGTTTCTACTATTAAAAGGTACTTAACATGAAGGTGACGTATTTAAGTACTTTCTAAAAAATGTGTTACAACTTTTAATAGTTAAGGTGTACACATTCGAACACAGTATTGCCCTAGCGAAGGACCAACTTCTCCGAAACCCTGTCACACGAACTTGACCCGCTTGTGAAGGTCGTGCGTTGATGACCCTTATCTGGACAAAGGATGGTGTAATTTTATATTAAGGAGAAGCAATATAGCAAGGACAGTATTGACAAGACCAAGATACCGCTAGAGCACCCCAGTAGGGAGGCAGAGAGAGAGAGAGAGAGAGAGAGAGAGAGAGAGAGAGAGAGAGAGAGAGAGAGAGAGAGAGAGAGAGAGAGAGAGAAAGAACGAGAGAGAGAGAGAGAAAGAGAGATGAGAGAAATAAAATGGAGAGAGAGAGAGAGAGGGGGGGGGGAGGGAGAGGGAGAGAGAGAGATAGAGAGAGAGAGAGAGGGGGGGGGGGAGGGAGAAGAAAGAGAGGGAGAGTCAGATAGACAGACAGAGACACATACAAGCAGACAGATAGACAAAGACAGACAGACAGAATAAACCCGAAAAGCTTTCCCTCAATTTCCTTAGCATTCTATCTGAACAATATTGCCTCAGAACAAAACTGATCCTTAAGTGCCAGCAAGCGCCAAGGACACTATAGAACCCCTAAAAACATTTTATCCTGAACCTCCGAGTTCGTAACGGTGTGGCCAAGATAGATCCATATGATTATCAAAAAATTTACGAGATATTTTGTGCGAGATCATACTAGGAAAACCAAATATTTTGATATGTTCATATCTTTTCTTCTTATCAATTCAACAATTTAAATTTTATCCACACGCCATCCAAGATAATTGGCATATGAGAAAAAAGAGGTTATTATGGAGGAGGCATTTAATATAACGTCATTTTGGAGGAGGCAAATGAAGTGTGGTTATTTTGGAGGTAGATAAAGGGTGGATTTAGTGGATTTAAAACAAACACGTGAGGATTTAAAACAAAACATGAGGAAGTAAAGAAAAAAAACTGAAGATGGAAGGAAGGGGGGAGGAAGAGGAGCAGGTACTCTATTGGGAAGTGGCTGGTGGTACGATGCAGGAGCTTATGTTAACTCGGAAATGTACCTCTGGAATACCTCTTACATGGAGAGAGAAAAATATGAAAGGTCACAGTCCTGTCATAGAGTTTAGATATATGGACTCTAAAGGAAGGAAAGCAGATAACCTCAGGTAGATTTGATGACAAGGATGGATGGACAATGTGAGGTACATAAGAGTGAGGCGGGAAAAAAGACTGACCTGTCAAGAGAATGGAGGATCTCTGTATGATGCGGAGTCGCACTTTGGGAGCATGAAGAGGTACAGGGAACTGGGCCTCTTAAGGAGGGGATGGAGGTAGAGACATGGAGAGGGAAGGTATAGATGACCTGATGTCGAGAGAAAGGGCTAAGTCGGAGAGAGCGTGAGTCCAACTTTACAAAAAAGATAAGGTGCGTGCTTGTGTGTACGTGTGCTCATTGCCTCTAGATTCAGAATGATAGTCTCAACGTTCCTATTCTCATTCTTCTTTACTTGGAGCCCCAAGCCTTTTTCCACGAAAGTACATTAGCCGATGGCGAAATTCTTTGTAGCAAATTTGATAAAGTATAATCAAAACTAATACAGGGCACAAATATTCCAGCATGGAAGCTGATACCGGCTGTCGGACAGATTCTTTTTTGTAACTGCCTTCAGTTCAATACTGATAGCCATCGTTAGAAGAAACCAATTCAATCCTTCTCACTCACTACTTGATGTTAACTTTTAATTTATGTTTGTTTTATTACTAATAAGTTATTAATGAATCAAATTAGGACAGAACTTCAGTAAGGATGAATGTTCTGTACCCTCACACTTTTTTTTGTTTTTCTTAACAAAAAGATACATATTTCTCAGTATAGCCTAAGATTATAAGGTTTATCTTGAAAGAAAAGTCACTTTTTTAACCTTACAAATGCCATGTTAATATTTAATTATTCTTGAATGTCATAAGAGATGATGTAACTGATTTCTCTGCAATGTCCTACATTTACACTTTAAAATAAAATTATAGGATTCATGAGGAAGACCAACAGAAAAATAATTAACCAAAAATATTATTTTTATATAATTTAGCAAACAAAAATTAAAGAAGGGTGTACCAAGAAAAAACAAAAATTGCGGACATAAGTTTATTTATACGTCAGTAATTTACATACTTAAAGTCCGATAAGTGTAAGTTTATTAGAAGTAGTACTAGATAATGAGTAGACACACAGGACAGTCATTTCAGTGAATTCACCTGTGCTCCATCTGCAAATACAGTTCCTTTACATAAGCTATGTTAACAGAGGGTAGCATACACTAATACTGCTAGGTCTATGTACTTAAATAATTGTTCTAAAAAACATTGCACTCATACTTATATAAAAATGGTACTGAAGACAGTGATTTACATACAGAGAACAGGTGAATTCCCAACCTGTGACTATGTTAGCCCAAACCTGGACTGTTGGCCAATTTTATGTGAGATGATAGCCCCTTCCCCCACACAAGGGACATAACATACATACTTTGATTGCAGTTTTCTTTCATCAATACTTTTTTTTAAATTATGTAAAAATTATTACATATTTAATGGTAACTTGTGCTGGACACCTACAAAGCTTCCACAAACAACCTCCATCCATGACAGTGGAAGCGACTGTAATAAAACCTCTATTCCTGTAACTACCATACAGATCTATCCTTTTTAAAGCTACTGATTTCTGTAATAAATACACGCGGTGGCAACTGGTAATAAAATATCTAAAAATAAATAGTTTAAAAAGAGTTGTGATCATCATGACCAACTAGCGCAGAGGGGTGAGCATGAGCAACCCTGACTGCCAATCAGTCCTCGGGAAAGTATGCTAGACAGCCAGCTGTAATTGAGCATCCCGTCGGGTCCTGCCAACATAGTCAAGGTTCGTAACACTGAAAACATTTCTTCTTTTTTATACAGAAGTATAAACGATAGAGGATGAAAAATTAATCAATTAGTGAAAGTTCTGTGATGTTTCAACATCTTACAAATGCATATAAAAATTATGTTTTACTGTGTGTTACATAGTGATTCAAAATAATTCTTAGGTCTGTTATCAAACCAATTCACCACACTGGTTTACAGAATACAAAGATGAAAGTTATTGAAACACATCCATAAATCAATGTATTTTGTAAACAAGTATCTCTCGTTTGGTATTTCGGAGCAGACAAGAATTCAATTTTAATCTCACCGGACTTTGCAATGAAACATCAGCCTTTGTGGCTGGACAAGAAGCCCACACACATTTCCCCAGTTAAAAAGATTTAACATACAAAGGGGAGAAGAAAATAAGATCTTACTTTGGGCTACAGATTTTCTGTTTTTTGTTTATATTTTTTTTTCCCAGGTCACACAAAGTGGCTAGGATTATCTGAAGTAATTCTAATTGTATTTTGAAGTGGATTACAATTGTACAAAAATTAATTAGTATATCAGATGATTATTGTGACAAAAAAGTCAGCCATGCCCCACTAGCCTGGCATGGCGTTGCAGCAAATATTGCACTGGCAGAGCTCCTTGGTGAGTGTGGACCAACGGCTTGCTCCTTCGGCTCCGCACACAGGACCCACAACACAGTCTTCCCTTATATTAATATGGCCACTGACAAAGCTATTCCAACTTGTGCCTCATGTTTCCTGATGCACAAATCATGGCTTAAGAACATAATTAAATACCTTGATTAATACACACACTACATCTTCCATGCTGCGCTCATATGACCAGCAACACACGTTTTTTTGTTTTGGTTCCTAGTTTTTCCTTTCACTTTCTTCCACTGTTCCTTGATTTGCGTCACTGGGTGAACGTCATTGTACATCCATACCAGCCCCATATTAACAATTTGGTTAGTTATCAGTTAAAGTACAATAAAATAAATGGTCTTCACACTTGCATACAGTACTGGTTTGTATTTACAGGTATGACTCCCTTATATATATAAACCTTCAGTTGTACACAAGTAAATCTTTCAAAGCATACACAATCATGCTTGATATTACATACACACAACAAAGACCCAAAATTGCAGACATCTGCAGATCCGTCTTTATTCATCTACAACTACAGACTTGAGGGATACTGTCAAACCTTGTTTTTTACAAAGAAAAAAAAAAAGTTTTATCCAAAATTTTCACTAATTCTTGATGGTTGGACTGCTGTCCAATTTTACCTAGTTCTGTATTAAACAAGGTTACATTCAAGGCTTGCAGCCTGTTGGCACAAAACCCATGGAGACATGGCACACATCTCTCTATCACCACCCTAAAATTACAATAGAGGAATGCTTATAATGTATTTTCAACACTATCTGGCTACAAAATCAGCTAGCTACACTGGATTTTTGCAGATATTAAAAAAAGAAAAACTAAAAAAAAAAAAAAAAAAAAAAAAAATGTATCAAGTCTCAGTCCATGGGCCATTTTGTACCAAGCCATAAGCCCATTTCTCCCTCTAGCCACGAATGATATGTCCAAAATTAAATAGATATTGGTGACAGTGCACCAGCCGTGCAAAACTTGCTCTCAGAGCTCTGAGATACCTTGTACTGACATCATAAGAAGACAAAATATATATTACACAGTCATTGTACAAACTGAGCTACTATATCAATAGCATCAAAGCTCCAATAAACAGAAAAAACAAAACAACTGCATAATGGTTATTCAACCTTCAAAGTAGTAAGACAGACAAATTTACAATCACAAAATCTACCTAAAAGGAGCATAATATTAGACACCTGAACTACAAATATGAAAAGACCATCTATGTTCCTGTTCACCATTCTTGTAATGAGGAAGAATGTTAGTGCCCTAAACCCCAAGTTCAACAAAACAGTATATCTAAGGAGTAACAATTAGTGAAAGACCCTGACCACCCTACCTGCAATGAACTCGCCCCCACATGACCCTGTTTGCACCTGCCGTCAACCTCAGCAACAAGGTCGTCGCAGATTTGATTAAAAACAAAAAATGGGAAAAAAGAGAGAGAGGGAGAACCAACAGTGTATGTTCCTCCAAACCATCTGGAACAGGAAATTAAGTTTTCACAGTAAGTTGAAGCCTGGAAGACCCTGCGCGGTGGCAGATGAGGATTGACAAATGAAGAGTGTGCTTTGTTGCTCTGATTACTGAGGATGTTGCTTGGTTTGCATGGGGTGAGAAGTGAAATAAAAATGAGCACACGCATGTTGCATTCACGGCAAAGGATCTCTTCAATTCTCCAATGCTCGGCTCACAGAAGCAAACATAAAAAAATAATGAGACACTCACATTTTCTTCATTCCTGGACATGTGCTTGAAGGCTAACTCCTCTAAATTGTGCATAAATATACAGTGTAGAGAAAATCCCTAAGTTATGATAAAGTACAGCTTGGAAAAATAATTCAATCATTATCTCCCTTTCAGGGACCATAAAATTAATACCTATACAAGGACGAAACACTTTGATTACCAGCAGCAAAAACAAAAAGATAAAAGAAAAAGAAAAAAGGAGAAAAAAAAATTATTGCATAAATGCAATTTGATTATTACTACAGCATAAGGAATATTTTCCAAAGTTTACACTGTAGAAGGTAATACTGTCTAAGCAAATAAATGCTGGTTTTTCCACAGATACAACGCAAATTTTGCTGCATGTATCAAAGAAAACTTTTCAGTAAGTGCAAATGCATAACAAAGAAAATAAAACCATTATAATAATAATGATATTATAAAAAAAATACCTAATTACACTTTAAAAGATGTAATAATAATGGTTTACCCATTGTGACAGATAATTACCTGTCACTGTCAATATGCATAGGCCAACACATTTTTGTTTTCTTCTCATATGTCCTGCCTGTACAGTACATCAGGCATTGTCCCAATTGACAGCAACTAATCTGGAAGCTACTTTGTTAGGAGAGTTCCAGTATCCAATATTATTTGAACTTTCCACTAAATAAACAATGCTGACATCATACCTTCACGAAGTAGAAAGAGGCCTACCTACAAAAAATATGTGGGAATTACCGAATCTGATCAGACTGTCGTTGAGGCACTTGTTGAGACATAAAAATGAACAATGTTGTAGTGGGTGGATACCAAGACTCTCCCTTACGAATTCACCTTACGAGTAGCAGCGACAGTTGAAGCACTCGTGTTTGAGTCTTTTGTGAGGGGCAACACTACACTCTGGGGTCCTCATTCAAAGTTTGTATTGAACATGTTTCCTAGGTCATCAAAGCTCGTGGGTCCAGACTGGTCAAGGATTTGCAGCATGTCAGTGAGCTCTGGCTGGGTACCTGGAGCACCACTGCCTGGGTGGTGACCTGAGGCAGTGCCTGGGTGGCCTGAACTGGTGGATGGACCTGCACTCGTCCCCTCCGCACCTATGCTGGGATACTGCCACATTCCTGCAATACAAGCAAAATAACCTTAAAGTAACTCCTAGATAAAAATGGAGTATCATAAGTCTTCACAAAGAAAGAATTACAACACTTAAAAATTCTTTTAAAAATACATAAGCAATATGAAAATACATAATACACATTAAAAGAAATTAGCTCAATACCTGGGGGCTGGCTAAAATACCAAAAGGCATGAACTTCACAGGCCACACTTTCACATGGATAGTGCATGCCATGAATGGGCAACCAATTTGTTTATTTGCATATACACAAAGGTAAATTTCTGTTTTTCTGATACAGATATATCTGAAATAATGAGGCTTCTGTTTTTTCTTCTCTTTTTTTCTTTGCCATCACAGAAAAGATATACAGTGATAGAACTGAGATAATGGAGGCATGACAGACAAGTCCCTGGCAAGATGGCTATTCCCAGTATGGCACAATATACATGCCATCCAGTGGTCAAGGGTTAATATCTAATACACATTCCAAATACCAACAGCAAATAAATTACATAAATAAACAAGGAAAAAAAAAATTATTATTCCCACCCTGAACTACCAACTGACATCACAGAAGTCCTTCACTCAGGACATTACCCTTGAACTGCTCATGTCAGCCTCCGTTTAAACACCCCCACACAACAAAAGGACCAACCTGAAGAGCCAGCTGCTGGAGTGTACGACGGCAGAGAACGGGGAGTGTATGAGGGGGTGGAGGGGGAGCGGGACGGGCTCATGTTGCTGCTGTAGGTGTACCCGTCACCACTCTGAAATGCACAAAGGAGAATTCAGTAAATGCTGTCTTTGTAACTTTTTCTTCCCTCTCTCTCTCTTTTTTTCATTTCAAAAATTGCTTAAAAAATATTTTCAAATAAAATATGGATATCCTTCAAATTCTGAATATGATTGAAATTTTTCAAGTTCAGGATATCAATAATTAATGTACAAAGAGATGCACAGAACTGTAAACTATTAATCAATCATTATCACAAAAAACAAAGGTCAAAGCCACAGACCCTGATATACTAACAAGATCTTTCAAAATGGAAAATGTTTGATTTCATTTTCTCCAAGAGAATACGACAAAAGCAAGAGAGAGAGAAAAAGAACATTTCACTTTTCTACACATACGTAATACCACGTACTAGAACACGCATGGACATTCGGGCAATACATACACACGTACAGTCATGCAGAACACACCACCACACAATTATACCTGTCTGATGTGTGGATTGGACCAAGCAGTTGCCTGTGCCGTAGATGGAGGCGAGGACGACTTTGTGTTACGTGGAAGGCTGGAGGAGGACTGGGAGGTGAGTGGTGTGGCCTGAGGGGTGCTTGGGGAGTAGCCAGCTAGGGGTGAAGCCCCAGCCTCATAGCCACTGTACACACCCTGGGTACTACTTGGTCTCCCGGAACCTGCTGCTGAAGAGGAGAAAAGGGGGTGGAAATGTTATTTGAGCTGATTTGTAAATACTGAGATTTCTTTCAGGATATAGAATAATCAAATCAATAAAGGGCACAAGAGAAAAAATAAAATCCTTTACAAACATTATGACGAACATAATTTCCAATTTTAAAAAGGTAAACTTTAGTCACGTGAGAAGGTTTAAAAATTAATGCAGGGAAAAATTAATGATCCAAAAATAAAAATAAATTCAAAATGGCAGGTCAACATCAACAATCCCAATCTAAAACAAATATTTTGTTATCCTTATAAATATATGTGCCATTTGGGATACAAAAATATTCACAAAATAAAATGCATAAAAAACACAAACAGAACAGAAACATCAACCTTTAATAAAACGATAACAAACAAACAAACAAAAACAGTAATTTAATCTACCAAGGTGAGCAAGTGAGTAAGAGTGAAAGTAGAGAAACGAAGAGGGAAATGAAGAAAAGAAGGGGGAGGGTAAGAGTGAGAGAGAAGGAGAGGGAGAAAGTGAGAGGAAGGGGAATGGAGAGAGAGAAGGAAGCATAAGTGAAGAGGAAGAGAGAATAGATGTGCATGAACAAGATTAATAGTTAGAGCAAGTGTAAGTGAAAGCCAGATAGAAACTGCAGATACACAATACAAAACAGAATTTTAACAAAACATCTTGTCATCTACAAGTTTTTCAAAATACAGTGCTATGTCTTCCAGAGAATAAGCTAGAATTACAACTATGGAATTTAGCTAACATGAGATTGAGTCGCTATATCATCTCTTGTTAATTAGAAGCGCTACAGGTGTTTTTTTCTCTCTCTGATATATTTATTTATATATATATTGTGATATACAGACTTCAACATACTTATTTGGAAGGTTCCATCATCAGGAAGATCAGTGCCTGAAGATGAATGGGTCAAGTTTTAATCTTCAGCTCATACACTTTGGACCCCAGCATTTGGGTCATCCACAAAAGAAAATATACAGCTTTTGATGTTTCACAAAAAAAAAGACCTATTCTATGGCTAAAAAAAAAGAAAAAAACTGCTGATTTTTCTTCCTTTCTTTTCTTTGATGTGTTGAAAACAAAAGGGATGTATCCACAAAAAGACGAAGGTGAAGTAAAATAAGGCTAACAGTCTCCAGTTAAAATGTTAATGTACCATCTATTTTCCCCAAACTCTACTCCACACCAGTGCCAACACCCTTAACCATTCCTAAAACACACACAAAATAAAGACCACACATGGGTTAACAAGCCAATAAAAAAAAAACCTAAAGGACTTTCCGCTTTTCAAATATTTAAGACTAAAACACGTACTGTGAATGTGTGACTGGACCATGTGTGGGTACAGTTCTCTCTGCCGCTGTAAGGAGTATTCCAAGCCTGGCTGATGGGTGCCATACTGGCTGCTGACCGAACTGACTTCCTGGTGCTCTGTGTTGGCACTCATTTCGCCGCCTCCTTGGACAGTTCTGGGGGAAAATTTGTTAAAGGTGTTGTTCTCATTAATTAGTTCATTCACTCTTACTGTAATATCTGACTAAAAGTGTTTCAGTCATTTATGTCCTTGTGAAAATCAATAGTGACAATGTAAATTTGATAGCAGGCATTACAGATTATGGCATGTGACTACCAAATGACATACCTAAAATGAATGGGAAGAGCTAATACTTTGGTAATCTATCATTATCAAAAACAATAATTATGGTACTTATCTCCCATATTATAAGGCATCACTTACTTTGCTGCATTGTTTGTACAGACAATGTACTCTATGTCATCTGTGTACGGGTTGAGGAATGCAAAGGCAGCAGTCCTCAGCCAAACCCACTCTCGGTTCTTTCCACGGAAGCGGTACATAACTGACATCACTTGGCCTTTCAGTTTTAATACTGCAAGAAAATATGAAACATTTAGAAAAAACTTCCAACTAATCCTAAGAAACTTAACATAATTTTTGTTCTGTTCTTTATAATTACTTGCAACCTATCTAAGGGGATCTGTTCCCACACACTGAACTTACAACCTATCTGAAAAATTTCACAGCATGTGTATTTAGAAAATCACTTACAGCCCATTACATTTCTTTCCGACTATCTCCTGCTGGGTGTTTTATTTACACAATTCTGCACTCACCCTGATCAAAGCTTTCCTTCATATGTGTCTGATCTTCTGGGTGGAAGAAGTCGAAGCATGGCTTGGCCAACAGCTCTTGCGGAGAGTATCCCAAGACTGTCATAACCCGCTGGTCAACAAAAGTGAACTTGCCATCCATCGCATGACGAGAAATGAACTCTGAAAGGGAATGTACATAATTTGATAAATTACTAACTCAAAAAGAGTCTGACAAGCAGAGACTAAAACTTCATAAGTACAATGAAACTTCAGACAATTCATGAATGTTCCCATTGGTATGGTATAGTACTTAATAAAATATTTGTTTACTCTTATCCTGTCCTTCTTTGGATGTCAGTACCAAAAAGCCTTGTTCCTTTTTCCCAGAAATACAATGAACAATCAAGTGTTTTCAGAATTACATAATGATACTGAAACACAAAACGGCAACCATTCTTGCTTTTCAAAAACTCGGTTACAAATAAATTTACATTAATTTACAAAGTATTCAATAAGAAATAATATCAGTACTACTAAATGTAATATAACCTTCCATTTTGCTAAAAGGCAATATCATTACAGAAAATCTTGAACTGCATTCAAAATATTAAAAAATAGAAATAAAAATACAAATTTGCTTTAAGGTAACTGATGAAGGAACTGCATAGCACAAGTATATATCAAACAACTAATATACAAGAAGAGCTAGAATACAAAGGGGCTTGACTCCTTTACATTGAAGCTTGTCAGAATCTTAGTTCCAATGCATTCAGTGAATCAATTTGTCACATAATTCAAAATACTTTCAAATCCTGCTTTGCAACTCCATTTTAACTTGCTACAATAACCACTTGACAGATGAAAGAGGAAGCATATAAGCAAATACATCCCAGAGTGAATAACCTCTCACCATCCACAATACTTGCAGTGCTAATTGTGGAGTTACATGCCAACCCATTACTCACCATTTTGTGAGTTTGATCCCATGAGATCTGAGGTGTTTGGTGCCGAGGTAACCTGAAGACGGCCAATAGCCACAAGGCAGCAGTGGGAGGATCCATGAGCCTCCTCTTCAGCTCGGTCCATCTGTGGGAGTGAAAATTCCTTTCAATTATTCTACTAAAGATTAAAAAATGAGTGAAAATTCCTATCAATTATTCTACTGGTGATTAAAAAATCATCAGCTTTGTCATTTTCAAAATTTAGAATTCCGTAGGAATGGTTTATGTTTAAGACTACATTCAAAATTAATATGTTAGTCTTCAGTATGACCTACATTTTGAAACAAAATCAAAATAGTTAACAGCAGATGAAGTCAAAATTTCTATTGTGTAGCACAAACTGATGGAAATTACCATTATAGCTTTCAAGACAATTCAAACACCTCTTAATAATTGACAAATATAAGTAGGTGCAATTTTACTTTGTGAGACAATAATTTTCCTTTTTTTCATATGACCTGCTCATATATTTAATACTTGTAAAAGAAATAAAGAAAACTCTACATATACAAAGGTGTCTATCTTTACAGCATGTCAGTCAAGGTGAAAAAAAATATCCTAACTAATAACCTCAAAACCACTGGAAAATTTGGGCACTTTACCTGCACGCCAGTAGGAGGCCAGTTCTTGATGTAACCTGTGCAGTGGACTACAGCATAGTTATGTCCATCAGTTGCGGGGCCTAAGGAATTTCTCTGACGCAGCCGATTTAGGTGACCAGAATTCATGTTCTCTGGGGTAACTGCACCAACTTTCATGCGGCAAATGAATCCACGTCTCGAACCCATGCACAGTCTCATTGATGCTGTGGAAGAGGATGGTGATGTTATCAACTTTTTAATTAAAACAACTGTCACATAAGCTCGAAGTTGAACAAAGTCCACAAAGCACACCTCTGGGTTTGCTGTCATTACGGCCCTCTAACAACAACAAATATAATGTAGGGGTACTTTGACTACATAAACAATACAGAGGGAATTAAGTATCAAACATCATTAAGATCCCTCGGAAAGAGCCTTGACAGAATCATAAATAATTTCAATGATTTCTTCACTTGACAAGCATAATCTTGTCAAAAACACACACACACACACACACACACACACACACACACACACACACACACACACACACACACACACACACACACACACACACACACACACACACACACACACACACACACACACACACACACAACACACACACACACACACACACAAAAAAAAAAGGGCCCTGGGGCAAAGACCAGGGCTGGGCCCACAGGGCTACATCCTTTTTAGGTAGGAAAGGCCCATTTTTCCCTTAAACTTGTTAACATTAAATGCTGTAACGTTGTTTTAGTATAAATATACCCTATAAATTTGCTGAGTTAGTTGTCCTTGAGCTCAAATAAGCAACTACTGTAAATTTGTGTATATACATATATATATATATATATTATATATATATATATATATATATATATATATATATATATATATATATATATATATATATATATGTATATAAACACATTCAAATAAAGGCATAGTGATGATCAACCTATCCATTAAAGCATTGACTGGCCTGATAAGAAAAGCACTATAGATATAACTCATCTTGTACCTCTATCAAATTCTCAGGGAAAACATTACTCACTAGCATAAACATATAAATTAACTAATAGCAGAGACACTTACACTGATGGCCTTCCTTCTTAACAGTTCCGGTCTTGAGATCGAGAATACGTCCTTGGTTGGCTGGCTCTTGGGTGCTCAACTGTTCTCTTACTTTCTCCACATCTTCTGGGTGCACGTGTTCATAGACGCTTGATCCGAACCAGTCACTCTGTAAAAGAGGTAATATTTAAACACTATTCTCTATACCTTAGGAGAATCTCTAAATAAAAAGGCATGTAAATGATAGTTTGAAGGTTGATGTAAAATAACATCTATAGTAAAGTTCAATTCAATATACTGTTTTTTCCTAATTCCCTAAAGTGCACTATTAGTGGGTATATCCTTACATTACCAACATAAAAGTCAGGATATAATAAAAAATAACAGTAAAAGAATTATGGAAGCATAAAAGGCTATTGCATATTCTTAGTCCTTAAATTACCATTACCATAACTGCAACAAAAATGTACAATAAAATAATCAAATCTACTTTTTCTTTCATGATTCACTGCATACTATTGATGAAATGAAAGCAACACTCACCTGTGGCTGGTTTAGGACTGGAGTGACAGAGTCTGAAGCATAGATAATACGTCCTGTGTCGCAGGCTACAACGAAGAGGAAGCCATCTGCCGCTTCAAGGATTAAATGCTTCAGCTCTTGGTCAGTGAGGAATGATGGTTTGTAAGTTCCATCTGCATTGGTATTTCCTGTTCCTGAGGAGAATTTGTTTCCCCTTATTAAAAATGTCATTATACCAATATTATATTTTTTCCTTTAACACTATTAAGCAAAATTATGAGAAAGGGCTGGACAAGTAGAGAAGGAGGAGTCACATCATCTGGAAAATGAGAGGACTTCCTCGTTAAATTTCTTATTTATGTACCCTAAGGATACTGTAAAGATCACTTTTAAAATGGAGGAGGAAAAACAGATGTCAAGCATTTTTCTTTTTCTTTTTTATAATCCCTTTCTTGTCTTTGAAACTAAGAAGACAAAAGTTAGCAATAAACAACATAAAAGGAAGTGAGAGCACCATCATGGTAATTATCTACATGTCTGTTTGAAATATATTACTTCTAAATGTTACCTGTATACTTTTGACCTTATGTAAATATTTAGAAAAAAAATCATAATGTGAGGTCTGAGTACGTGCACTCAAGTCAGCAAAACATGCATATTAGTCAATGATAAAGTCAGTGACATGGAATGGTTCTACTGAACATGATCAAGCTACAGTACTGGCTCCACTACCTCAGTAGGTGGATGATGTTGTTACTGACTCGATAGTTGTACTAGGAGGCCAGGGAAATGGAAACAGGACTGGAACCCAATAGAAGGGGGAGGAAAAGGAAAGGGAGGAATGTGGAAGGGGCAAATGAGTGGAGGGGAGAATGGGAGGTGGAGTAAGCATGAAGGTGGGGATGAGGGGAGGAAGCAAGCATTCAAGAATGGGGAGGGGAAAGATACAATAAAAAAAAGGGGGGGAAGGTCTCAGAATCAAGGATTTTCAAAGTCACACAAATATATTACCAACCATACCTTACCTTTCTCTAGAAGGGCTTGTTTGA